GCAATCATTGTCCTTTCCTGCCCACCCCACCCCCATTATTTCCTTTATCTCCACCTTTTTTAATGGATGTGTGTGAGTAGGTCTGCTGGTGGAGGGGAGTGCAATTATATTAATTCATATTCATACGGCTAAAAGACTCAAGCTGTCATTATTTCCTCCTTTTGTTTTGCAAAAAAGTCTTTTAAAGCCTGTTAAATAACCCAGTTCGCCTTGATGTGAATACTTTTACCGTAAATTTGCATAAATGTACAATATAATTGGGATGCCTTTTTCATTTTATTTTATTATTCATTTATATTTGGCCACAGTTGTTTTTTAATGTTGGAAATTTGCTGTAGTTTTGTCTGATATATTGGCCAGAATACAATGATTTGGCACAACATTAATTACAAAAAATATTACAGAACATTGTAACTTAATACACTGATAATCTGTTATCAGTTAAATTTAATTTGGTGTTCATTATCATTAATTTAGATGAGTTATTAGACAAACTAGAATTACAAATTTATTTTCTGATTTTCTAAATACAGTGGTATATGGACAGATCATGTGAAATATTATGTAGATAATGAAAATACAGTTAGTATACTGTAGTGCAGAGGTAAGTGAACCCAGGCTTAGACTGTGGTTTGAGACCAGACACCAAGGTGCTATCAAGCAGCATGCCGCAGTGTTCAAATACAGCAGAAGCAATACAACACTTTCAGTCAAGAGCGTAAACAGAATTGGGGAGCTCAGGGACAGACTGTCTCTTTCGTTCGTCTATCCAGCGTCCAACCCCCTCAGACAAAGCACCTGATTTGCAGGCCCCAAGGGCACAGAAGTGGCCACTGCTGTTTGATTAGTGATGAATCATCATTGGCAAGTAAGGTAAAACAGAGATGCTAACCTGAGGTGCATTTTTGCGATAATTTGCATAATGCAGTCCATGGTCCTCTGGGAAAAAAATGCTGCAGCTCCCATAAACGGATGTAGATCCTGTTAGTGCAGGAGAATTATTTACAGCTGGTCTTCAGCTCCTGTCCAGGGAATCTGCTTTCCAACCACCTGCTGCTCCTGTATTATGCAAATCGAGCGGCAGTGTGAGGAAGGTGAATCAGGCCTCAGTTATGAAAAAAATCAGTTAAATCACAATTAAACCACCATGACAATATTAAATAAAAAATGTCACAAATTTTATGTGCCATTTAGGTTAAAATACATTCTTGATTAAAAGCTAAAATGCCTATTTGATTTGCCTTGTCGCAGTTGGTTGAGTAATCTTACTTTGAATGGTAAGGCTTTGATAAGAACTGATATATAGATTCAGTTCTCTTCATCTGGTAATACAGCCTGAATGGTCGAGTGCGCAAACTGAAATCTTATTAAGACTCCGTGAGAATTAGCTGCCAATGGCTGGTTTAATAACTTATAAATGAAGCCGGATGGATCTCCCTTGCATAGTGGAAGAGTTTGTCGATTGTGCTGAGTTTTTAACTTTGTGTCTCCAATGCTGGATAACCACCCAGGCATAATATTAAGTGTCAGAAGCTGGAGTTTGATCCATATATATCTGTAATAACCGCCTGCTTCGGGCTTTGAACTCGTGTCTCTTGAATCCCTCGTCACTCATTCCCACTCGGTCAGTATTCACTGAGTACTTGTGATCTTCAGGAGTATCTGTGATATGACGTGAGTATTTATTCATTATAAAAATCTGAGAAAGAGCGACCGAATTAACACATAGATGCACCATACACATTTAAAATAAGAGATTTTACTAACAGATACTGGAAGATAAATTAGTTCTAAGAACAGCTTCCATTCATTAGGTTAAATAAAACAGGAAGCTAATTAAAGTTAACAATGGGTGCAGTTGCAGTTCTCTTGGGTAAGCTATTACCTTCACTATCTCACACTGGGTTTTTTAAATGCATGAACAAAGAGGACATAAATCTTTTTTTCTGGATGTTTGTAGATTATTAGTGCAGTGATTCGTCATGAATGTTTTTCCAGTCCTGTTACTGCTTTAATCGTAAGTGACATAATCAAAGGGGTACTGGAACCATGAGCAGAGAAATTAGCTTGTATGCCTTCGTGCCCTGCATCTCTTGTGTGTGTGTGTGTGTGTGTGTTTGTGTGTGGGTGGGTGTGCGAAATGCTGATATCTTTCCTTTTAACTTTACAAAAGAGAGAGTGTTTGCTCTTCCACTGCGTTATGTAGTCAGCAACGCTGGTGGGGGAGGATTGTGTTTAGAAAGGGAAATGTGAGAAAGTTTTGTCCAGATGAAGGTCACTGGCTTTCAGTTACAGCTCCCACGTTGTGCCCCTTTGAAATTTTCCCTTTGCACTTTGTATCTTGTTTAAGCTGTATTTGCATTTTAGTATCCTCGAAGGATGACTTACATTATAAAGATTTTCCTCAGTTCATGCGTGACATTTCAAAGGCCCTACTTTGTGGGGTGTGTGATGTAGGACAGTAGTCTTCAGCCTTATTTGCAGTGATAGCTACAAAAAAGAAAGTCTGGGGGTGGGGTCAGGGGTCACATCCACTCTGCAGCATGCCATCATGAAGTTAAATGCACCTGTATACGCAAAATACCAAAAAAAAAAAAACATAATTGATCTTATTTCTAAATAGTGTACTAACAGCTTGTGGGCAATGCGTTGGCAACCACTGATGTAGGATTTGCACATGAGTTGGGGGGGGGGGGGGGCTTTCTGGTTTTCACCAAACAGTGGCTGTGAGATACTGTGTTTTAAGAAGGTGCCTGAGTTTATTCCATGCAGCTTGAACCATATTACTTGCTGACAAATAAAATTAAAGCAATTGCTGCGAATTCACGCCAGCCTAATTTTCTATGTAACGAGAAAAGCATCAATCCCAGTGGGGCTTCACACAGGGTGTCACTGATTAATTGCACCTCTTGCCTTTATGTTCTATGCTGTCGTAAGCTAATTTCTTTTAAGCCATCATACTTATTTAGGTGAATTATTCCCTCCCTCTGGAATATTTTAAAAATATTTTTTTCGGCTAACATCTTAAGTGGAGGATTTATTGACCAGGATGCAAACTTACCAGTGTACTTTTTTTTTTTTTTTAAAAAAAAAAGGTATAGCCAGAGGTAGATAGTTCAGGTCCAGAAAGTACAATTGTAGGCCAAGATTTTTTTTATACCTAACAGTTGAGTACTCTGTCATTGTCATTGTGTCTTTATACTCAACTGGTTAGATGCAACAAAATCCTGGTCTGGATCTCTACTCTCTGAACCTGAACTATCCACCTCTGTCTGTAGCCTTATAACTTGTTAAAATGAAAGGAAAGGAACTTTTGTTCAGAGGTCTGGGTGCAATGCAGAAGCCCAAGACCACTGTAGCTGAACTGTTTCACCTTGTATGTCAGTGTTTCCTGATAATAATTTTCTGGCCCAGCAGATGTGATTAATTGAACTGATACGGGATTTGCCATCTGCGTAATTGATGGGTTTATTGGGAGTACTTTGCAGAAACGATAACAAGTGGTCATATCAGGATTGTGGATGAAGTAATGAACATCATTGTCCTCCAGGAAGGAACACTTTCTCAAGGTTCCTGATAGGGTGTGGGTCAGAAGGCACACCAGAATATCCAAAAGCTTGGTATGGGCAGAGCAGGATGCTGACTAAGGCATGGAAATTGTCACTGAATCATTCTGAAGTTCAGACAACACTGGAGCCCATAATCTTTGCGATCCAGGTTTGTTGGGGAGCTCTCTGTTGTCTTCTGAATGCACTGTGAACTATCTGACTGTACTGATGTTATGAAGTGATATCTTAAGGCCATGCAACCTCTTCTGGGGAAATTCATTTTTGTGGCATTACATTAAAATACATTTTTTTTCTGTTAAATGTCATCATGATTTAATTTTAAGCATTTAGTATGCAATAAATGAAATGCTTACTTTATCGTGCCCCGGTCCCATCCTTTTCTCTGCTGAGATAGTAGTCATTTCTTCGGGGTGCAGTAAGCAAACAGCTATTTTTAAATCAACTGATTACAAATAACTCCCACAATATGTTCTGTTCTAAAAATAATCATGGGATCCTCTTGCTAGTGCATATTGTATTAAAAAATGAAACCTCAGATGCAGGTGTAGTTTTACAAGATCAGCATTTTTTCCCCGCTGGATATGTGAGTCAGTGGCTATGTGAATTACTTCCCAGCAGGCCCCATGGCTTCCAGTTCACCTGAAAGCAGGGGTTCTGGCAGTGGGGCCGCAGCAGCGTTATTGCCTGTAGGCCTGCTGTACTCCTGTAGTCTGCCTCGGCGGAGGGGCCCTCTGGCCTGGCAAAGACTGAGCACTAGCTCTCATTCCTCATATAGGTTTGTCCTTTAGTCTTCATCTAAGGTCACACAAGCACTGCATCGGCCCCTTAGATAGCAGAGGTTTTCTGGCCTGTCCTTTGGAAGATTAGAAGTTCTTTTAGCCATTGATGAAAACCCATGCCAGAGAAGCCAGACGAAAGCTTACAACATTGCTTCCTCAGGCATCTGACTGCTCTGTTTTGATAAAGAGAAATAAAAAAAACAAACTCATTCTGTTTTTATTCTGGATGACAACGGTCTCTCTGGTGTCTCCCCGTAGATTACTGCTGCATGTTGTTACACACGTGTCCTATCTTAAAGCTTTAATGTTGGTCTTTGCGCCGGTGTCCAGCAGGCAACCTTGAAAACTTGGGGATTAACAAAGCCAGATAACTGACCCAGTTCAGTATCTGTGCTAACGGAATTAAAGCTGGAACTGTTGTCAACACATTTCTGGCAGCAAAAGGCTTTTGCATTCAAGCCTGACCGCAATTCTGCCGACTGGTATCAAGATGGTGTGGTTTCCAAGTTGTAGATATGACCTCTGTGTGCTAAGCGTGTTTGCATGCCTGTTCCTATGCATGCGCATGAGTGTGCATGCGTCTACGGGAGCCTCCGTCGCAGTGTTCTGATTCTGCTGCTCATCTCTATGTTCTTGTCTCCTTCCATTTCAGTATGAATACTTCAATGCCGTTTTAATAAACGAAGTAGACAAAGAAGGCAATAGCGTGGAGCTCGGAAAGGAGTTCGTTTTGGAGCCAAACGAGCATTTTAATAATTTGTCCGTCAACCTTAGCCTCAGTGTTGTTCAAGTTCCCACCAACATGTACAACAAAGGTACGTTTGATGGCCTGTGGTTGCTGGACTGGTCATAAACTGTGACACTCTACTTTTAAGACAGCTATGTTAATCTTGTCCGTGTTGCTTTAATTAGTGTACGTCTCCTTATTTACCTCAAAATAAAGAGTTTGAGCGTCAACTAAGGGTCATAACCATATCAATTTTTCAAAACTACTGAAAAACTTACACCTGTACCTGAGAATGCACATAGTATTATTTCTATTCTAGTTCTTAGAAACGAAAGTCGGATGTGCTCAGTTGAGTGAAGTGGGTTAAGTTAGTGGCTGCAGTCTGAGGAAAGGTTTAATTAACAGGCTGAATACCAGCTGGATGGGGAAAAAGGAAAGGCAAATTGACTGGGAATGATTAATAGGAACTGTTTTGTCAGCTGAGGAATAGCTGGAGAGAGTTGGGTGTAAGTGTTTTAAATCAGCTTACTTATATGGGGATTAATCTGTTTAAATAGGCTGGAGTCTCTGAGGAGCTTTGTGGTCTAGAACAGTGTTTCCCAAACCGGTCCTCAGGGAACCCCAGACAGTCCACATTTTTGCTCCCTCCCAGCCCTAATGGGAGTTGGGAGGGAGCAAAAATGTGGACTTTCTGAGGGTCCCTGAAGACCGGGTTGGGAAACACTGGTGTAGACACCCCTTTGTGCAAAGACAGGCTACAGTAATAAGAAACAGAAACAGTTACTGTAAACATAAAATTAGCACCACACTAAGCTTTCCTATTGTTGTCTTTTCCTGATTGTGAGACCTTTGTGTGTTTGTAGGAGGTGCTGTAAATATACTTGGAAGTTGCATGTGACTTCCTTGAATCAGCATTCACAGGACTCGTTAGTGGATTTTTACAAACAAGTAACTGCCTGCGGATGCAGTTTACTACAGCTTTGACAGCCTTTGATGTCTCTCTTGCACACAGTCTCACTCTCACTGGGCTAACCAGGAATACACGTACAGACACAGAGATTGTGTTCCAGCTTTTGTTCTTTTCATTAATTTCCTAATCCATTTAAACAAATTTATTTATAATCCCTTTACAATTATGGAGCTGGGAAAAGTTGGTATTGAGATACAGAAGCTTGCAGCCTGAGGTTGGTGGATGAGGCCCCGCTGGAGTCTGGCCAGGATTAATTTCCACCGTCTTAACAGGCCTCTTACAAGCTTTTGCAGCCTCTGTAGCAAAATCATACTGAACATCCTCTTTTTTTCTTATTAAAACCTTATGGGTTAGAGATGCATGACTTGTTCGCTAACATATCAGTAGCAACCGATATTCATTAAAAATGCATCTGCATTGGCCCGATGTTTCAATCTTGGTCAATATTGCCGGTCACGATATTCCACAATCAGCTATTTTCTGTAGTGGTGGATGAGGGATTTTGTCAACTCATTCAAAGCCGAATCTACGCTCAGATATTCCCCTTCCTGCATTATATGATGTGGTTGCGCTAGTGAAGCGTTAGTTTCACTGCACATTTGTGGAGGTCACAGGTGAGCAGGTTACCAGCACTGGTGATATTAGACAAAAATATATTGGTTACCAGTACTGGCCAAAATTTCCACATCGGTGCACTGCTGGTTACCTTTGAAACTGCCTTTGTTTTTAGATGTCTGTGTACTTCATAAAAGCTTGACAACAACGTGAAAAATGATAGCTTTAATCCATGTAATACAAAGTTGCTTACGATGACCTCAGAATCACACCTGCAAATGGCTCTGGACTGACACAGGTCCTATTAAAGTAACTGCAGTAAACACACATGAAGCCTATTTTTGTTGCCTTCCTGTAAACTCTAAGAAACATTTCATGCCTTATTTTCTCCTATAGACTCTAAGAAACATTTCATGCCTTATTTTCACCCAAAGCCACTTCCAGGGAGACAAAGGAAAACGGCCCCTCGATTGCTGGCCCCAGGGCTATGGATCTCACACATAGATCCCTGAGCAGCCTCTCCAGTAGCTATTGAAGGCTGAAAGCTACACAGTAGGCATGTATATCAAATTGAAAAACAGGCACAATTGGCAATGATTCTCTTAAATGAACTTGCTCAGTTTACTAAATTAATTGATATATTAAACATCCTGAATGTGTACTGATTTTCTTTTTAAAATTTATAACATTATCTCAGTCATATAAATTCATAAAAGTTAGTCTCCCTGCCTTTCTCATGTATCATACACTTTTAAAAACAATTTTACCTTATATACAGGGATTTTTGCATAAAAAGTATAAAAATATATACGTATATGGAATTACATATTCTTTATTTGCAAAAGTATTCAACCTGTCTTAAATGAATCATATGTACATGCTGAGAGTCCGGGGGCAAACTGAGCCATGCTCTGCTAACTGTAGATATGCATAATCCAGTCAGCATTTGCTACAATGTATAATCCATTTAACCAATATGATGTCTGAGTTATCATGGCCTTCTTCCAATACTAGGAAAATCCATCCATCCATCCACCATTGTGTCTCCAGTCAATCAGCTTCGAGAACCTCTTATCCAGTACAAGATCACAGTGAGCCTTGGGAGCAAGGACATGGGACAGCCTGGACGGGATGCCAGTCCATCTCAGGACACACGCAATCACACACCATAGGCAATTTCTCATGTCTGGTCCTGGAGAAATAATAGTCTTCCTGGCTGCATTTTGGTGTCTGTATGAATCTGGTCATTCCCAGTCTGATTCAACAAATAATGCTGTAACAGGACCCCTGCTTTGTGTCCTGTGCTGCCTGAGATAGACTGCAGGCTTCAGTGACCCTGTAGTGAATAAATGGTTAGATGATGGATGGACAGATGGATGGTAAAAGTGTAGGTTAAAGCAAATTTGGAGTATTGAGATGGAGATGTACATGTTTATTGGAAGCATAACGAATCAGAAGTGTTCAGATCACATTAATTTGGAAAACGATTGTTTATGGCTGTTTATATATCACAGGCCAAATTGTACATCACAGTGAACCAGAACTGTGATGTTCCATAACATCCGTAATATTTAATATATATTGACTGTATGTGCCCTGCAACTCAGACAGGATATGCGGTTGGAAGATCGAGGGATGTATGTATTTGATTTTTGCTAAATATATCCCTGTCAGTATTTTAGCTACTAAGAATATAATATTTTCTTAGCCGCTATAATATAATATTTTGCTTATGCTTCCCCCACTTCTAAATTTAGATTTTTGTAGGAAGTTTACTTATCTTTTGTTTATTTGTCATTTGGCATGTAACAGAATGCATTAGTTTATGTAATTTTATTAAATATCATTTAATCAAATTAAGGAACCCAGTGGAGATGCAGTTCACACCTCCTCCTGTTTGTTTTTGCTTTTTTGGAAAGTTATTTTGTTGTATCATAAATAGTCTTTCTAATTTGTCTCACTTGAGATGAAGCTATTGATCGTCTTGCACAACAGGGGAAGTACAATTAAAGCAGAGCTTTGTAGACACGTCATAATGACTGTAATTAGTGCTCAATATGCGGATTCACGCTGAATGAGCATTTTTCCAGAAGAGAGATTCACCCTGCTAGAGATTTTGTGTTTAAAAGCAATTTAGAAAATTGCAGGCAATTCCAAAACTGGGGAAAAACATTTTTCATGACACTGCATACGTACATTACAGGTTAATTACAGAGTTCCCAAAAACAAATTTCTGTTACGCCTAAACCATTCCTGTCAAACTTGTGTGGAAGAATATTCTGTGCAGAAGCAGGGATTGTAACGCTACGATGCAAGATAACATTGAAGAATTTTCGACTCGGCAATAAAGTAAAATCAGTAACAGTGTTCCAGTATCAAGCTGCCTTTTCAGGCTGTAGTCTGGGTCTGAGTCTGCATTGCATTTCAAATGGATATCTCTTTGGCAAATAACTGAGCTAGAATTTACAACTTAATATGTAATATGAAAGTAATATGAAATGATTAGGTGTTGGAGAGGAATATTACTATAATAATCAATTTAGGTTTAAGTGATCAAAGGAGGACTATTTTTTGTATTGTTATGTGGTACATTACACTTGCAGTAATGTATAGTCTGTACTGTTATTCCCATCCTTCTTCCGTAATGGTTTATTCAGTACAGAGACTGGAGCACAGGGCAGGAAGCAGGGGAATATCCCTGGATATTCTGTAATTTATCTAGAATGCATACATTTCATATTAATACTCATTTACTATATCCACAGTTAGTTTTTGATGGTTCTTTTTCTTGGGGAATCATGAAGATGAATTCAATACCTTACAATACATGGAAAGTTGTGATATTGGAAAAGTTGCCTTTAAGGGTCCCCTGTGGGCCATCTAAAGCTAATATGTGAAAAGAAAAAATACGAGAGAAATCGGGGGGAGGAAGAGATGCCAACATTAAGGGATCTCAGAATGGCCTGAGGATGAAGCTCTTACGGGGATCCTTAGTGTTTGTACTTCCAGAACATGGCAGATATCAGTGCATATCCTCTGAGCAGGAAATGCTTTTTTGGGTAATACCATTTAATCACAATCTGCAGGGGCATGCGCCTGTATTTTTTAATCTCTTGTAAATGTGAGGGCCAATTTAGACGAATAGATTTTATCCTGTCATTCTGCAGACGAGAGAAATGAAAATGCAAATCATGACTTAGTAGTGCTGTCTCACAAAGATAACGTTCTCAGGACACCCCTCAGCCTCATTCTGGACTGACATTATTAATGCCGACAAACAAATCTTTATTACATTACAGGAAATGTGCAGCTCCAGAATAAGCCTGTGATCAGACAGTCATCTTCTTAATAAGAGTCTTCCCCCCTTTGAATGCATCAGTGTCGGATAACCATCTGGCCTGGCTTGCAGGAATGAACAGCTCTGTGGCTAATATTGCTGAAAATAGATAATCCTGGTGTGATGGCCTTCTCGAAGCGGCTGATAGCGTATTCTGACTGAATTGTATTCATAACTCTTGTAACTGGGAAATTGAAAAAAGAAAAAGCCCAGTTAATCTGAAATGGACGTGCTTCACCGCATTTTAATATCTTCAGGGAAAGACTCCATATATGTACAGTATATGAGTGTGTGTGCGTGCGTGTGCACGGGCCCGTGAGTGTACTCAGTAATATGTAAATGTATTCAGTATATGAGTGTGTGTGTGTGCGTGTGCACGGGCCTGTGAGTGTACTCAGTGATATGTAAATGTATTCAGTATATGAGTGTGTGTGCGTGCGTGTGCACGGGCCTGTGAATGTACTCAGTAATATGTAAATGTATTCAGTATTGTGTAGTGATGTGTGACGTGCGCTTCTCAGCATTACTGCTTCTCTTAGCTCACAACAGCTTATGACATTTTGTGCCTTAGGTGTTATTAGCCCATATTGTCTGGCATTGGTGGGATGCTCATGAGAGTTATTCAGAGACAGGGTCCAGTACAGGGTCACTTCTATTGAGCTTGGATGGAATGCCAGTCGGTATAAAAAACAAATCAAAGTGATTTTAATCTTCCTCTTTTCTTTTCCTCCTAGACTCTGCAATACTGAATGCGATATATTGGTCAGAGGCACTGAACAAAGTGTTTGTGGATAATTTTGAGCGGGACTCGTCACTGATATGGCAGTACTTTGGCAGTGCCAAGGGTTTCTTCAGACAGTACCCAGGTGAGAGGCACCGCGCGTGGCATGAGGACGGACTGCCAGGCAGGCAGGCGGTGCTGAGAAGAGCAATCAGACACATCGTGATTATAATTAGCTGGCTGGAACTGCTTCCCAGAGGCACGGCGAGAGACAGTCTGGGAGGTTTTAGTCAGAGTGAGTGACAAGCGGAGCAATGAAGAGGACCTAGCCAAAATGGAAACTCTTAGGCTTAATGCAAAACCCGTGGGAAGAGAATGCTGGGGTTTCAGCATAAGGAGAAGGAGGACAGAGGGATGGATTTTGGCCATAAGTAGAAGGAGGACAGAGGGATGGATTTTGGCCATAAGTAGAAGGAGGACAGAGGGATGGATTTTGGCCATAAGGAGAAGGAGGAGAGGGGTGGGTTTTGGGCATAAGGAGAAGCAGGACAGAAGGATGGATCTTGCGCATAAGGAGAAAGAGGAGAGAGGGGTGGGTTTTGGCCATAAGGAGAAGGAGGACAGAGGGGTGGGTTTTGGGCATAAGGAGAAGGAGGACAGAAGGATGGATTTTGCGCATAAGGAGAAAGAGGAGAGAGGGGTGGGTTTTGGGCATAANGAGGACAGAAGGATGGATTTTGCGCATAAGGAGAAAGAGGAGAGAGGGGTGGGTTTTGGGCATAAGGAGAAGGAGGACAGAAGGATGGATTTTGCTCATAAGGAGAAAGAGGAGAGAGGGGTGGGTTTTGGGCATAAGGAGAAGGAGGACAGGATGGTGGGTTCAGGGTATCAGGACTTTCAATTTCAGCAGTTATCCTTGCTTGTGATATATGTTTGATTTTACACATGGTTTATTTAAACATTTAAATATATAAATTTTAAGATCTGACATGGCCTTCAGTTCTGGCTACTGCATGTAAAACTCTGCATCGTGTTCTGTCATTCCTGCTTGGCGAAATTATACACAGGTATAAAATGGCATCCGGATGAACATGGGGTCATCGCTTTCGACTGTAGGAATCGCAAATGGTAAGGCTTGCAGTTGCTAGGCGACAGTAGACTCCAAATACATCCCTGGAATAAATGCAACCAAAAAATGACCAGGGGCTTCTGTTTTTGTTCCTAAAGGTATATTCAGGCTGCCACGTCACCGAAAGATGTGGTGATTCTGGTTGATGTCAGCGGGAGCATGAAAGGACTGCGGTTAACTATCGCCCGGCAGACGGTCATGTCCATTCTGGACACACTTGGAGACGATGACTTCTTCAATATAATAGCAGTGAGTATCACCTCTTTCTCTATTTATTGTTTTGGAAAAAAAGTATTTTCAGGGCTTGTAATATTCCAACATGATAACAACAGTATATGCTCTGTATCGAGTGATACAGATTTTTAGGCACACTGTTATTTTCTTAAGCTCAAAGGTTTGAGTTACTAAAAATTAAATACAGTAATTCATCCATCCATTTGTCAGGGTTGTGGGGGCAGAAGCTAATGCCAGAGAGCCCCAGGCAGAGGAACACCCTGGACTGGATGCCAGACCAAAAAAATATATATATCTTAAGAAAAATCAAAAATCATCACTACTAAGTGTCTGTCTCTCCAGTTCTACTTTAAAAAAGCAGGAGCCTTCATGGCAATTTTAGCTTATCCTTCCTTGGGTCAGTAGACTGTTCAGTTTAATCATCTGGCAGACCTTTGGTTGGCAATATTCCTATGGAATGAGCACAGTCACACAGTCACATGCTCTAAAATAAAATGACTGAAGAGCATAATGTATTAGGGCACTCACATTAATTCCAATCCCATTTTGAATCACATTTGTTCTTAAGAAGTGCTGGCAGGTCCTAAGAATATTCTACTCCCGTTGTAGAGCAGACTGGTGTATTTTTGAATGGCATTTCAATTGCAAAGTACTTTGATTTGATTGACCTTATACATTATTGCTTATATCATCAAAAATTAATATCTGATCTTTTGTACAGTAACATGCCATTTGTTCATGTTGGTTTAAGCTTTAGCTTATTTAATGTTTGCTACATCAAATAATTTTTTATTGATTATATATATCATCCATCCATATCATATTTTTATTTTACAGGAATGTATTCACAGCACACCTGATTTCATCATGAGGTGGCTATTTATTGTGTATCAGAAAGAAACATGTTATAATGTGTCTGCAGTTGTGCAAAAATGTACATCCCAATCATTTACTGAAGGATTATGACAGAATGCATGGTTTGAGAAAATTGACATAATTTGATAATTTACTTTGAAGTATAATTTCTAGTCATGCATTAAATTAACAATATTATCTGAAAAAGCCAGACTACTGCCTCAATTTAACTCAGGAATCTGAAATCTGTCCTTGCACACTACTGGAAGCCATGCATAGCATGAACACAATTATTATCTAAGCTGAAGTTTTTTTAATTAAACACATTCATTCCATCCAGAATTTCCTGATTTTGATTGCAGCACCTGGCATTTTATGTACTTTGTCAGGAGAATTTTGATTGCTGATGGGTTGTGTTGGGAGAGGCTCATTATATTTGTTTGTTGGTTTCTTTGTTTATTGTTTTGATGGCAGTGGATGTCTGTGTTTTGTAAGGGCAATGTTTCTCCCTGGACACATATAGTGACATGTTACTATGTTTCACTTTTTGTCTCTCATTCCACTATTTACTGGAGCTTCATTTAATATCAGCTTTAACTGATCTGATGTGAGATTGGGGGGGAGTATTGGTACAGAGCCAGCTGACGTGCCCATTCATTCACTTCATCTATACTTTATTAGTAACCATGTATGTGTGAGCTTTGTTCTCCAGGACACTCTCTCCCTATTGTGGCTCATCCCCAGAATCAACGCTCTTTGTCTTCATGTGTGCTTGTTTTGAAGCGGAAGAGGCTGTCTTTGTTTTGATTCTTTTCCACCATTTTGTTGAAGCCATCTTCACACCTATTCACAAATAAAGTCCTCATTTGGTCACTCGGTTCGGGAGGATGCCTCATATCCGATTAAATATTATGTGTGCCATTTTGACTGCATACGTGCCTGGCAGCGTTCGGAGGAAGTGGACTTTGGCTTTTCCCTAATTTCAGCATGCCTGTGTTCCACACTGCGTGAAGCCCAGACTACTTCTGACATGTCCTGTCATGTAGCGGATAATCCACTACTGAAAACCAGGAGATTTATCTCAGTTCTAGTGGGAAGGTCATCTGAGGAGTTCTGTGATTTTCACCACAACTCCTCAGTCGTGGGGTCAGCTGGACATTGCCAGAATCTCAACAGGCCTGACGAGCTTCATTCATCACCATGCCATCTTCAGGGCAGCAATATACAATCTGAAAGCTTCTCTGAAAACATACAGTAAGTGGTTTTCCAGTGGGAAAGACTGCTGGAATGCAGCCCTCCAGAATCAGACTTGAATCACCCTACCAACTCCCCAGACAAGGGATTAGGAACCCTGCCTGACTGTGGCTGCAAACGATAAGGGTTTAGGAGCTTTGATGGATTAGGACCTTTCAAGAAAAAGTTTAGGAGCCTTTGGGAAAGCCTGGGCGGCTCCATGGGCAGAATCACATGACAGAGAGCGTTTGGAATGGATTGGTGCTTTGTTACAGGATTTCATTTTCAGGGTCAACTAAAGTAGGGGGAAGAAGGGGCAAAAGGCCTTAATAAACAAACGCAACCCCCCACTATAAAGTCACATCCACAATGCGTAACAGGCAAACAGAGTGAACAGTGGCAGTCACCTGTATTTCCTGAACGGGCAACGTCCTGCTCCTTCCAGTGGATTAAGGCTCTCTTAGATAAGGGCTTAGGGGCCCTGGTGCGTTGTGGCTGTCCAGAAGAGGGCTGACAGCCCGGAGAGGTTGTGACCATTAAAGATAAAAGAATTTGGGTGCTGATAAACTTTGAATTCTGTGACCTGCTGGGGACAAAGACCTTTATCTTGGGTTATTGCTTCCAGTTGCTTTTGGAGATGACTCCATTACATATATGCTATATGAGATAGCGTATGATATTTAGGCCTGAAATTTTAAAATTAATCAACATATTAAAGGGCTTGTTATCATCATCTTTTTTCCCCCACGTCTGTATTATTCTCTGTATGATTTATGTCCATAACAATTCTAAATTATCGCTAGTGTGAGCTGAGTGGGGGCACCACAGCTAATGCCAGAACTACAGCTATCACTGTTACCATTGCTGATACCAGTTTTCCTGGTCCGAGTGTTTTAATCTCATCCTTGTGTGTTTATAGTACAATGAAGAGCTGCACTATGTGGAACCTTGTCTAAATGGAACTTTGGTCCAAGCCGACATAACCAACAAAGAAGTAAGTTTTATACATTTTATTTTATAACTTACAATTACCTAATAAAATGTAAGTGTATATGTTTCAGAAATGGCTGAAGTGTAACCCAAACATTGAACCCAGACCAAGAGTGAATAGCAGGGAGCATACCTGCTCCAGAATGCCTTACAGGGAGACACAGGTAGATCTGCTGCTTATACCAGATGGCCACAACCTGTCGTGTTTGTCAAGCAACATTTTCCTTATAAAAACTGCCTGCCTGAAAATCCTCCCTTAGACCTCAGCAGGCAGGGGGAATCCCTAGGATTCTGCTTTTAATTTTAATTACGCAAAATAAAAATACACATTTTATAGCTGCTACTTTATGTTTCTGCATTGTTTTTATATTTTTAAGTCTTCTATTTAACAATGAGGTACAAATTGGCTTACTTCACTTTGCCAGTTTCTAATAAACAAAAGAACAAATGAAATAAGTAACATTTGTATGACAGTAAATCCATTAATCAAATATTTTAATGACATGTAAATAGTATCAGTGTTAATAGAATGTTTTACTGCAGGCCCCAAACTACAGAAACAATCGGTGATGCAAAATTACAGAGAACAGATATTTTTCAGTCCATGTCTTAATTGGGCCAGAATATGAAAGGTCTGAAGCCCAAAAGATTGAACAGATTTTAAGATGGAGACTATGTCCAGGTGACTATAGCTTTCCTGTCCTGTAATGAAACTCCTGGCATCACCATGTTTCTGTGCAGCAGAACAGATTCTTATCAGTCAAAAGTACTTGTTTAGTTATTTACACCAGTGCTTGTAATCACACTTCATACTACCAGCATAGAGTATATACTATATACGTTATGTACCTGGCACGATTGAACTCTAACTACTGACTACTTAAATTATTTAAAATAAAACTATTCATAATTGGTTGTGCTTTCCTGTTCCTGGGCTTGCAGCATTGCTTTTATATCGATCACTTTTTATATACGTCAAGCTGGAAATACTAGTTATTCATTGTATGTATTTACATGTCCACATCTGCGTCATTTTGTCTTTGAAGGACTCAGATGTCTGAAATGTTTTACTTTGGTTGCACTTGACAGCAGTTATCTGATGGATAGTGAGAGCAAAGTGTAATCTGCTCCGTTGTTTCCCATGCAGGCAGCCTCTGGTGGAGAGGCTGCATCTTATACAATATGACATTTATGGCACGAGCACTTCTCATATCCCGCGTGCGGTTCGCGCATCGCCGCACCTTTTCTTTCTCTATAAAAGACGTCCAGACGTGTAGCCTGTTCAAGACGGAAGGCAGATCTGTGCAGGATCCGTTTCCAACAATATGTGTTTTTTCCCTTCTCCGTCTCATCCCTTTATGCTTTTCGGTCCATTCAGCCGAAATGCTGCGTACATCAGCAGCGCGACGTTTTGTCGCGAGTGCTCGAGCGCCGCGTTAGCGAACCCTAGCTCGTGTAAGACAGACTTAACTCCCTGAAAGTCAATTCTATCTTGGATTTGCCGAGACGTCGCTGTAAAGGGACCGCAGCTGATTTCGTAGGTAGAGAGGGCAGCAGGTGCGGAGCGCTACAGTAAAGCCTCAGCTCATTCAGCGGGGCTATCGCGTCTCCGTCTCTGTCTGGATTAACAGCGGCGGACGCCGGTACATTCTTGTGCTCTTCTGGCTCTTTCTACCATATTCATCCCTCCTTCGGCATTGCCGCCGCATTCCCAGGGCCAGTCGATTTGTTCACCGGCGATGGGCATGGAGTGTTTTGATAAAGCTGCCGGGTTGCTGAATTTAAAAGTGGTGTCGTCAAAACGTGATGAAACTTTAATTGGAAATACACAGTGCGCCGCCCAGCAAAAGAAAAGAATATAACCTAGTTTAAGTAAGTTTAAAAAAAAAAAACAAAGATTCAGTGGAAACTAATTTACAGTGTTAACAATGGCTGGCATAGCTCCCCCTGCAGGTTATTGGAGGAACAGATAAATACTCCATTTTGTTGCCCGCACCGTTTGCCTGCTCTTTATCCTGCCTCATATGAATATCTTTGATCCTTCGCCTTAAGGTCAGCTTTGCTGGTGGCTGACAGCGCTCTGGATCATCGCTTAGGAATCTTGGACTCTTTGCTGAGAGTTTATTAAAGAACCCTAATGTTGCAGAAAATGATAGTAGGGATGATCATACAAGGTTTGATAATAGATCTATTTTCTCCCTGCTCCACCAAAATAGCTTGGTGATTTGGTGGCTCAGAGTGAGAGTCTATTTGAAACTGATGGGATATTTTTTTTCCTTCCTTTTGGTCAGCCAAACCAATGCGTACATTCCATCCAATGCTGGTAAAATAGGGCTATTTTCTGTGGGTATCTTCAGAAATTGCTACATATAAATGCAAAAAGACTTGAGAGGAAACTTCTTGACAATCGGACATGAAGTGGCATCACCAGGGACAGAGAAAATATTCAATTTTTTGTATTTTCATGGGGCAAGTGCATGTTTTCCAGTTTCTTTCTTCATTTTTTTTTAAATGGACATATAGATTTTTTTGACCTGTGTTCTATTGGAGCCAAATGGAATTATTTAAGTTGTAACATTGACTTTAAAACCGACCCGTGTCATTTTGATTGCTGCGTTGTTGGAGAACCAGGCATGGGGCTCTCGGCGTACACGTGAGTGTAGCTTGATACGCAAGAAGGACGGCTGCATGGAGCTGGCTCCGCCCCCTCACTGATTGGTCAGCCTTGGGATGGTCACTTTGGACAAAACAATTAATCTCTTCCTGCAAGACATCAAAAGATCTTCACTGGCCATTACCTGTCAGCGTTCTTTTTATTTGAAGTTGTTGACTTGCTGAGAGTAGAATAGTAGAATGTATACTCCACTGCCTGAACTTATAGTACTTTTTCACACACTCACATATGTGCTCACAGAGGCAGAGGACCCCCCCCAGTATTCTATTTTGGCTTCATTCATCCCCCCATAAACAGTCCTTTGCATTTATTAACTTGTGTCCCCCCACAATATCAAACTCTCTCAGTATGCCATTGTGTGTCGCGTATACTTGTGTGTGTATCAGAGCTGACTACACCAGTGTTTCCCAATCTGATCCTCGGAGACGCATTTTTGCTCCTGGAAGTTGGAAGGGAGCAAAAACATGGACTGTCTGGCAGGGAGCTGGGAGGGAGCAAAAACATGGGCTGTCTGGCAGGGAGCTGGGAGGGAGCAAAAACATGGACTGTCTGGCAGGGAGCTGGGAGGGAGCAAAAACATGGACTGTCTGGCAGGGAGCTGGGAGGGAGCAAAAACGTGGACCTTCTGTGGGGCCCCGTGGACCAGCTTGGGAAACACTGGACTACGCTATTAAAAATGTTAATTAGCATGAAGCAGAAGTACGCCATGAAAGGAAGTGGATTGAAACGCCGCGTTCATGCAAGTGTCCGTGGCAAGCTGAAGATTGGCAAGAACAGAACTGAAACAGTTTTAATAAGTTTTAAACAGGCAGTCAGGAATGTAATAGAAAAAGCCCAGAGATGTATAATCACGGCGGTCAACCTTACAGAGTCTGCCTGCATGCAGACATTTGTGGAGAGATGTGTTATGTGGCTGGGTTTATTTAGATAAAGCCTGTGTCTGTTTTGCCTCTTGGCCATTCAGAATAATGAGCTGCATAGAATGAACTCGCCAGGTTGCGGTAAACATTAAACTACATTAATCGCTTCAGAGAGGCAGTACACGCACGGGAAGGAAACACACAGACATACCGAAAGTATAAATTGTCTTTAGTTCTATTTGCTTTATGGAATTCAAATTGTAAATTCAGCCTCCTCACTGGAAATGCAGGGCAAGGCAGACTTGTGCTTGTAATCTTTTATGAAATGCTGACATTTCAGCTTGTAACCTTTAATTCATTCGCTTGTTCTCATCTTGGAATCCTGGTACAGTTTAATGACGTGTTTGTTAATAAAAAAAAAGCAATTACTTTGTTTCGTCATTGAAAAAAAACCTTTTAATTTAGCATCTTTTTGGTGTTCTGTGTGCGAATGCAGTAGGATGTTACAGGATCTCATATAAAACACAATATTCAGTTTATGTTTCCATTGTTTATCCTCTTTGTTTCAGCACTTCAGAGAACACCTGGACAAGCTGTCCGCTAAAGGAATCGGAATGCTGGATATCGCCCTGACCGAGGCCTTTTTGCTACTCAGTGATGTAAGTCCCAAAATACTTCAGTTCATCCTGATAGAATAATTTGCTCGACAAGTTCAAGGGGTTGTAATCGAGTTCCAAAACTTGTAATAATCTTGGACGCCTGAAATGTCGGTGTGGGGGGAAATTGCTGTTGCAGTGAAAGGAATTGGCTAATTGTAGTTTGTGCTGAGATCCCTATCTTTGTGATTAATGTGAAGAAAGTCTGATTGTCCTGGGAAAAGATGGACTACAACCTAAGTGGGTAAAAAGCTCAATTGCATGATATGATTAAAGAAAGATATATAATTATAGAAGCAAAGTGATACCAGGTGTTGCTGATAAAAATTAGTGCACCAAAGCAGGCATTTATGTGAGGAGAATCCAGTGTGTTTAAAATGTACACTTATGTACTTATTGTATATTCAGCTTTGGGGTTCCCCTCACTATTATTAAGAGTTACTAAACATGTATGGGGACATACATATGCATATGAGGAAATACAGCATTTCAGTTTTGAAAATGAACCTTATTAGACTGAGACAGGGAAACTTTGGGTGGCATTTTGCATGGAGGGATCGGGTATGAGTTGACTGACTATGAGAGCACATCCATGGTTCTCAAACCAGATATATTGTGATATGTCACAAATACCCATAATGCTGTGCAGGGAGAGCAGTCCTTCTTAAATGTGACCTGCGTGCAGGAGAACAGAGAGAGTGAGGCTGCGACATTTGAATGGTTCAGTGCATTTTGTAAAACGATTACACACTTCTATTACCAAGCTTTTTCCATGGTGGGGTCTTTGCTGCACAGACTGTGGCAGAATGTATTAATGTACCGTTTAATTATAGCACTGTAATTAATACTTTAATCTGGAGACACATGTTGATGCTGAAATAACATGCTTATTCGTGAACTGGCCTGCTGACTGAATATTCTGCTGATTATAACCTCTCTGCCGGCCCGGTCCCCTTCTACCCTTCATCAACAAGGTCCTACTTTCCCTGAAATTCTCTCCTTACCACTCTCCACACCTTCCTATTCTTTCCAGAACATCCCCCAAACTCCATCAGCCAGCTGGTCTCCCTCATACTGGCCCGAAGGGCTGTATCGACTTCGCTGACATTCTTATACTGGTGGCTGTCAGTCTCCAGACGGGGCTTATGGGGGAGGGGGGAATCTTCTCCTTCAAGTAGGTGACATGGGCATGTGGCTGTGTGGCAGCTGGGTGTTCGCTTCAGATAACAGCCTCGGAGGTGATTCTGGGGAGACGAGCTGCTCCTCACTGCTCCTCATCCCCCTGAGGCGTGAGGTGCTGTTTACACACGGGGGGGATCAAAGAGGCACCCTTTACTGTTTTCATTTCACTCAGCCGTAATGCCTGTCATATCTATAATTTTTTTCGTGCTTTCGGTGTACGTGGATCTTCTGTAAATATTTAGTAGAAAAAAGAAATTATGGGTTGTCAACAGCAAAGCGAGTGCAGGTATTTTATCAATCCCCATGGGCAAATAGGGTTGATGTTCAGAAATCCATCTTACTCTCCATGAGAGACACAGAGACACGTGTACATATCTGAGGGTGGGGTGAGCTCACACCCAGTGCCCCTGGAGCAGGGCTTGAGAACCTTACCCAAGGGTCCAATAGCAGGCTCACCGCACACAATTCCTGCCCCCCAGACAAATTTACTTCAACTGAGTCCCCATGAATGGTCACCCCTCCCACCTGGGGACTGTCCGAGTCCTGTGCACTTCCCAAGTTGTTCCCCGAGACTGCAGGCCTGCCCATCAGCAATACGATTGCTCTGCTGGCTACAGGATTCACACCCATAACCTTCTGGATACTGACCCTTATCCCACAGAGCTACACACTGCCCTGTGCTGTATAGTTGCTGTGTGTAGGCAATATGGCTGTATTTTCAAATTAATATTTATTTGTAAATTCCTTTGAATGATCTTGGCACTAATTAAGTCAACAACATCACCATTAATATTTGCAATGGAATGTGACATTCATCAATAATGACCAGCCATTCATTAATGAAAACAGCCATTTGTCTATGCATGTATGTGAATCCTTTGTCTTTTTGTGCAGGAAGGGTTGTGATACTGCTCCCTTTCTGAGCTGTGCTATTCCCATTACATTTTAGGTGATAATGCTTGAAAACAGTATGCGTTCTCCATGGCTTTGTCACAGGTCAGCACGCTTCATTGCGGTAATGCATTCTGGGAAATGAGCTTCCAGTACCCTGCTGCTTACAGGTTTATTTTAAAGGGACCTACCTCGCGTCCCCAATGTATGCAGGCAGAGTTCAGTGTGATTTTTCATAATGGAAACAGTCTCCTTCCATAAATGTATTTTAATAATCATGCTGGTTATGATGGCCTTGGGAGAATTAACCAGATGGGGAAACGCGTTTGACTAGTTCAGTGATTTAGCTTTTTTGCTTATATCTGAATTTTCTTAAGAGGAGCTTAGTAGGAATTTGAAAACTATCTTTATGTTAGGCTGTCATTTTCTCTCCCATTTTCACAACTGTTAAGCTTCAACTTGTATATTTAAATAGTTTATGATTAATATACAGTGGTACCTCGGTTCTCGAACTCACTAGAACTCGAATTTCTTAAAAGTCGAACAAACCAGTTTGACCTAGAACTCGATCTGAATATCAGAAGTCGAACCGTGAACGCTGACCTAATATAAAGTGTACGCGCCAGGAAATGAGTCATACTACAATGCCTTCTTCACACACTGGACGATTAACCAAATAAAGCAGCACAGCATTACAGTAACTTACAATAAATAAACCGCTAACCTTACGTGTACTATTAGAGCATTTATGTCATTTATTTAAACTTTATTTTACCAGGTAAATTAACTGA